ATGAAAATTCGGAATGTTAAATATTTTGACAAATTGCAATTCGGAAAGTTAAATATTATGACAACAGCAAATTTTTAAAGTTAAATATTTTGATAAATGAAAATTCGAGAAATTAGATATTTTGACAATTGGAGATTTGAGAAGTTAATTATTCGGACAAGTGCGAATTTGGTAATTTCAATATTCTAACCAGTGGAATTTCGGTATGTTAAATATTATGGCAAATAAAAATTCGGAAAGTTAAATATTATACCAATTGCAATTTCGGGAAATTAAATATTTGGACAATTGGAATTTCAGAAAGTTAAATATTATGAATGATGGCAATTTGGGAAGTTAAATATTCTGACAAATGGACATTAAGAAAGATAAATATTCTGACAACTGGAGATTCGAGAAGTTAATTATTCGGACAAATGCAAATTTGGTAATTTCAATATTCTGACCACTGAAATTTCGGTATGTTAAATATTATGGCAAATAAAAATTCAGGAAGTTAACCTTTTGACAATCCATGGCTCATATGTGTCCAGAAAAAAGTCGTGCCACCTTTGTGAGTTTGGACATATATATGTCCATCTTCGAAAAAAAATACTAAACATAATTCGATTTACTTTTACTAAGGTTTTTGGGCTCGTTGAATCCAAGTTGAATGTCAGATTTACAAAATTCAAAATGAGGGACCCAATTTGGCGTCCAAAAAAATTTTTAAATTGATCAGATTTTCTTGAAAATAATTCCTTTAGGGTTTTTGGGGTCGCTGAATCCAATTTTGAGGTCAGATTTAAAAAATTCAAAATGGCGGAAAATGTTTAAATTGATTCGATTCGTTAAAAATTCGGTACTAGGCACAGTGGTCCTCAAGCAACAACAGGTTCGACTAAAATGGATCCAAAAATTGACTGAACAAGCTTTTAGAAGACTATTCGTAAATGTAAAAACTGGTTTTCATAAAATCCTAGCTGATCGTTTTGTCGAAAAAACTTAAAATTACGTTTTACGAAATGTATTTTTAGCATTGTATCATATACTATTCAATAATCAACAATTATATCTGTAATGTTCATTGGTAAACCATTTTCACTAAGCATTAGTATATTTAACTTAAAGTAAAATACATACAAAAGTTTGTAGAATAGCTCATTTGATTACTCTTTTTAGACGCTAAAACGACTTTGCCTGAAATCAGAACCAATTTTTTCGAAATATTTTTAAACTGCGTTTTACAATAATTCACAGTGGTTTTCAAGCATCTACAGGTTCGACTAAAATGGATCCAAAAATTGACTGAACAAGCTTTTAAAAGACTATTCGTAGATGTAAAAACTGGTTTTCATAAAATCTTAGCTGATATTTGACTTATAGAAAATTACATACAAAAGCTTGTAGAATAGCTTATTAGATTACTCTTTATAGACGCTAAAACAACTTTGTCCAAAATCAGAACCAATTTTTTTCAAAATATTTTTAAACTGCGTTTTACAATAATTTTTCATCTTTCAAGATTACTATTAAACTTAATTTAGCTTCTTCAAGTTGAAATTCCATCCATTTATATCAATGTATTCGTGCATTAGTTTTGTAACGTCTTGTAACAACTGACTGATTAACTTATTGCTTGCGTGCAAAATCAATTGCTTTTTCCCTATTTTGAAATGAGTTCTCATGAGGAGAACAGGAAGAAAATATGCGCACCATGCAGTCAGAAAATTGCTTTTAAAGAGGTTAAACCAGAAAAATTCCTTATAAACGAAAAGTTAACTAATCTAATTAAAAAATTTATCAACAATAATTTTAATTTAAATGGGCCGTTTAAAGATACCTTTTTCGTAATCTAGAAAAGTAAGATAGCATGTTCTACAAATGCTCAATAAAAATTTCTCATCATTTAAATTAAAACTATTATTGATAAATTTTTAAATTAAATTAGTTAACTTTTTGTTTATAAGAAACTTTTCTAGTTTAACCTTTCCAAAAGCAATTTTCCGACCGCACTGTGCACATGTTTTCTACTGGTTCTCCTCATGAGAACTCATTTTAAAATGGAGAAAAAGCAATTGGTCTTGCGCGCAAGCTATAAGTTAATCAGTCAGTTGTTACAAGAAGTTACAAAACTAATGCTCGAATACATTGATATGAATGGATGAATGAATGAAATTTCAACTTGAATATAAATAGATAAATAAAACTTAAATGATAAATTAAGCTTAATGGTAATCTTAAAATATGAAAAATTATTGTAAAACGCAGTTTAAAAATATTTCGACAAAAATTGGTTCTGATTTCAGGCAAAGTCGTTTTAGCGTCTATAAAGAGTAATCTAATGATCCTGTACAGGATCAGCAACTGAACTTGTACAAGTTCTGACCAGTTCCTGTACAGGAAAATGCATACGAATTTGGAACAAGTTCATGTGTGAGATCTTGTACAAGATTTGGTGCAAGATCTTGTACAAGAAAAATACTTGTACAAGAAAATGTACATGATCTTGTACAATTTCATGTATAAGTACTTGTACATAATCACGTCCATGTTCTTGCACATGTTAATTCATGTTTTTCTTTACTAAAAATTAAAAACTTCAAAGGCTGCGCAATAGTTTACTTTAACCTTTACAGCTGCGCAATAGTTTTTAGCATGCATGAGTTACGAATCTTAGTGGTTAAAAATTATCAAAATCTGAAATTTTATTAAAAAAAAAAATTTTGCAACTATACATGTGCAAGAACACGAACGTGTTCATGTACAAGTACTTACCCACGTGAAAAAGTTCCCGGGAGTTGATTCCCGGGAATTTCTCAAAAAAAATTCCCGCAAACTTGTTAACCCTTACGTGAAGCATTGTAGGTGTCTCTAAAACAAAAAACTTTTGTTTAAGGCGTAAAAAATTTTTGTAAGTATTTAAAAAGTTTCATTTAACACTAGGAAGTACCCAGAAGCATATTTAAAGTTTAGGTTAATCATATTTTGCATGTTAATTACTTATAGGAACCTATTCAAGGTTTCAGTCTGAGATCCAGGTAATTAATCGACATTTTCCAATGTATTAAACTGAAAAAAATCAATAGTCGATTACTAGGATCTCTCCAGGTACTTCTCTAAAAGTTAGTTAAATTTCGATAACTTCTTCGAGGAAGAAAACCCTAAAATATGAAAGACGATCGCTACAAGAGATTTCCAGGTACCTATGATTACTCAGGGTAATTTTTCGTCAACTTCTGGAACAAGTTAACCTTAAAACGTGATAAATGATCACTAGGAAGTTTCAAAATATTTTCCTAGTGTTCAGGTCGTTTTCATAAACTTTTTCAGGGAAGTTTATGTTAAACAGCTCAATCGTTTACGAGAAGCAATTATCATATTACCTAAACTCAGTCAAAATCAAATATCTACAATTAACCTTCAAATACTTGCTCCTAGGTCAATTGATTTTTATCAACTGTCTCCGTCAAATTAAATTTAAATCAGTTAATTATTTATTCCATGTAATTTCAAACAAAAAGTTTTTATCATAATTAAAATTTTTTCTTCTGATTATTTATTTATCAATTTATATTTATATTTTTAATTCTTGAAAAACAACTAAAATATCTTCAAAAATATCGTTGATTTTTAATTTTTATTAAACTTTTATGTACAGACATTTACTAAATTACAGAATAAAACATTTTGATTAATTTTTTTTAACTATAAAACATTCTCGAAGTATTAAACATAACATACAAAAATACCAACAAAATTGTCTGAATTTGAAATTTCATAACCTAAACTTTAAATATGCTTCTGGGTACTTCCTAGTGTTAAATGAAACTTTTTAAATACTTACAAAAATTTTTTACGCCTTAAACAAAAGTTTTTTGTTTCAGAGACACCTACAATGCTTCACGTAAGGGTTAACAAGTTTGCGGGAATTTTTTCTGAGAAATTCCCGGGAATCAACTCCCGGGAGATTCCCGGGAACTTTTTCACGTGGGTATACATGAAATTGTACAAGATCATGTACATTTTCTTGTACAAGTATCTTTCTTGTACAAGATCTTGTACAAGATCTCACACATGAACCAAATTCGTATGCATTTTCCTGTACACGAACTGGTCAGAACTTGTACAAGTTCAGTTGCTGATCTTGTACAGGAAATTGTACAAGATTTTATACAGGGATTTCAGTAGGGTTACCAATGAACATTACAGATATAATTGTTGATTATTGAACAGTATATAATACAATGCTAAAAATACATTTCGTAAAACGTAATTTTAAGTTTTTTCAACAAAACGATTAGCTAGGATTTTATAAAAACCAGTTTTTACATTTACGAATAGTCTTCTAAAAGCTTGTTCAGTCAATTTTTGGATCCATTTTAGTCGAACCTGTCGATGCTTGAGGACCACTGTGTAGGGGGTTTTTAGGGTTGTTGAATCCAAATTTGAGGTTAGTTTTAAGAAATTCGAAATGGCGAACCCAATATGGCGGAAAAATTTAAAATTGATTCGATTCGTTCAAAATTCAGTACTAGAGGGTTTTTGGGGTCGCTGAATCCAAATTTGAGGTCAGATTTAACAAATTCAAAATTTGGATTCATAGACCTCAAAAACCCCCGAGTACCGAATTTTGAACGAAACGAATTAGGACATTTTGTTACTAGTCACAAACTTACCATGCAAGCTTGCACACCTTGCAAAGTAAAATTGCAGAAAGTATATGTTTCAAACTTATGTGCTAATTGTGCATCAACCAATTCAAATAAATAATTCCAGTTTAATGTACTTTTTATAGCTATATTGTTTAAAAATAATTTGCTTTCCCCCGCGTGTATGTGTCAATGTGAGGGGGAGGGAGTATTTAAAAACGAACACCTGATCTCGACCTGGAACGCGGTTAAAGTTCGTGGATGATGATGATGAGGGTTACAATTGAGGATAGTATATAGTATGTATACACATATTGTAACCCCAATGCATTTCCGCCCAAGAAGGCAATGCGCATCGTACCAATCAGCGACGGCGCTCTCGTTTTTCGTTGACGTATAAGCAACATGGCGGCGGCGTGTCGGAGGCGTCTCCGTCCACACAGTGCTCGACGGTGGGTAGACCGCGTACGCCCGCAACGTTCGTCCAAGTGAAAGGGACACATACCCCTGGAAAAAGGAAAACGGTGAAAAGAAATTAGTCCGTCATTTTTTTTTTTTATTTTTTTCTTTTTACTTAATTCAATAATAAAATTTCATCGCGATAAAAAAAAAAAAAAGTTCTGACAATCGTGTTGTCGACAAAAAGTGGTGTGTGTATGTGTGTGTGCGTGTGCGAGTGTAACAAAATGTGAATTAAAATTCAAACTCTTGTTATAACAAAGAAATGACAATTATTCAAACAATACTTAATGGAAATAAAAATAATTATCAATTTTAATAATTATATCCACTGCTATGCTCATCATTATTATTATTCTCTATTTTCAATTAAAAATAACAAAACACAGATCTTTGATCTCTGTATGGGATCATCACGAATGGGTCACTAGGATGTCGTTCATTTATTGTGTGAAATTTCAATCCAAAATTTATGAGTGGACCAGAAATATATTTAACATTATTATTATTATTATTCAAAAAGAATTAAAAAATAATTGTCGAGGTAAAATAAGAACCTCAAAATTAATTTCCCTTATCATCGGCGTGTGTAACAGACGACGACGACGTTGCACGAGCAGCAGCAGCCTCTGCCGTTGCGCGTGACCAAAGCCTTACCGAGTCGATGCAATTCCGAGTGTGTTACCCGCCTTTATGTGTAATATGTTATATGTAATAATGTAATAAAAAAAAAGAGAGAGAGAGAAAAAAAAACAACCTACGTATGCTGGTCATAAGGGTAGAAGAGGAAAATCAACTCTAGACAGAGGAAAAAAAAGAGGGAGATAGAAAGTGTGAAAGAGAGAAAGAGACAGAGAATCTACTACGGCTGAAGCAATAATAGTAATATCGATTAAAATAGCAGACGTCCCCGACCAACAGTAACCCGTCTTTCGACCGGCTGCAAGTCATTCTTGCCTATACCTATAAAATTGTCTCTAAACAATTACTATATTTATCTTTTTTTTTCAATAATCTTCTAATTTATTCTAGTTACCAAAATAGACTATTACAAACAATTTTTTGGTACTTGTTTTTGACTAGTTTCAAACTAGTCTTGGATCAAAAAATAATAATTTAATGTCAGTTTACTGACTCGTATTAATCAATAATAATAATAATAACAATAATAATAAATACGCTAGTATATATGTATATGAGAATTGAACTTGGTTTCAGTGTATAGATTATTGTCTTTTCTCAGCTGATAAATGCTTGGATGCAGCTTCATCACACACGTTATACCTGTGCAATAATAGAATTGAAAGTATTAATCGTGAAGGACCTGTACAATATGGGACGAGATTAGTAAATAATAATAATAATAATAATAGTAATAAATAACAAAAATAATAATTAAAATAATAATAATAGTTGATATCAATAGTGTGTATTACGCGAAATTTATAACGTGTATCATGTGCTCGTATGCAAATTATACATATACATGATTGTAAATCGATAAAAGAATTTCCTTTACTACATACACGTTGCATATATATGCCAAGTACCGGGGATTAATATTTAACGCGAAAGTGCTCCCCCCGGCCGGTGTGTTCAACTTTTCTCTTGATCATTATTTTTCATATATATTTTTTTTGGGATTTCTTTTTTTTTTTTTTTTTTGAATTCTGAGTTGCTGAGAAGAATTTTAAAAGGACGTTATATAGATAACCCTTCATCTGTAAGGGGGAAAAATTGACGATCATGTCTCTTCTCAGCGTGACAGGTAAGATATCGATTATAAATATATATATAATATTGTTATTCTTTTTTCCAAAAAGTAAATTTAAGTTACTTGGTACTTTTGAGGAGTGAATTTACTATATATTTAATCAATTATAGTGAATTGGTTGGATGCAGTTAATTTTCACTGCGTTTAAATTTAAGTTACAACCTACCCCGTATTGGGACAATAACAGTTATACTCTCTAAATTTAAATTAGTCACTTTTGACTAATTAAAACTCACACTGTGCCTGAACCAAAAAAAAAAAAAAGTTTGACTAAAATAGATCCTAAAACGGGTTGTTGGGGATAATTCTGTATCATATCAGAAGTAAAAATCCGTTGAGATAAAAATCCTAGTTGACTCCTTTTTTCGAGATATCGGTATTTTCGTTTATTGAATTTTGCGAATATTTACAAAACACTAAGTTTGGAAGTTTGTAATTACATGTAGTCAAACGAATCTTACAAAAAGTAGGAGAAGGTGGGGGAATTGGAGCCCCTTAAGAGCATTTGAACCTTCGTGACGTCACAAATCATGGCGCATGACACGCAAACTTCTCAGGTATGTGAAAAGTACAATTTTGAATATTTTTCAAAAAAACCTTTTGGAAAATGTTCAGAATAACATAGACTCTGTCTGTTATGTGCGGAAAATTCAAAATTTTGCGTTTAAAACGTTTTTTAAACAATGTTAAGGTCACAAATCATGGCGCATGACACGCAAACTTCTCAGGTATGTGAAAAACACAATTTTGAATATTTTTTAAAAAAACCTTTTGGAAAATATTCAGAGAAACATAGACTATGTCTGTTATGTGCGAAAAATTCAAAATTTTGCGTTTAAAACGTTTTTTAAACAATGTTTAAGTTGGTTGTCACAAGTAAGGAAAAATACACGAATTGCTTATATGTAGGCATTGTTTAAAAAACGTTTTAAACGCAAAATTTTGAATTTTTCGCACATATCAGACATAGTCTATGTTTCTCTGAACATTTTCCAAAAGGTTTTTTTAAAAAATATTCAAAATTGTGCTTTTCACATACCTGAGAAGTTTGCGTGTCATGCGCCATGATTTGTGACGTCACGAAGGTTCAAATGCTCTTAAGGAAATTGATTTAAAAAAAAAACCAACTTATTGTTATAATAAAATATTGTTTTGGTCATTTTTTACTCCTTCTGTTATTTATCTTTAATTATAATTAATTAGAAATTAAAAACAAAAAAGTAAGTTTACAAAAAAAAGGTTTTCTAAAAAATATGTATTTTATCCCATTACCCCACCTATGGGGTAACCTGTCAGAAATGTGACCGTTTGTCTTCGTATGACATACAGGAAGATTGTTCAAGTTTTCCGAGTTATTTCTACGAAATTCAAAGTTTCTGTGTAATTGAAATTTAAAAGCTCTCATAACCCCACCTTCCCCTAATTTCTAAAGTACTAAGATCATTGGGATTTGTCATGAGGTGTGCAGCGATTTTTCACAATATAAATAAACTTAAAATTTTATATTTCTCTCTGGTCTGACCAATATTGGAGTATGCTTCTTTAATTTGGGTACCTTTCTGTACAATTAATAAAGTTAGAATTGAACGAGTACAAAACAGATTCTTGCGTTTTGCAGCACGACAACTTCATTTGCCTTCTGACAGATACACTCATGACTACAGTAATTTGCGTGTACTTTTGAACATTCCTTTGATAACATCCAAATTTTTGTTTGCTGATTTAATTTTTTTATATAAACTCTTAAATAGTTTAATACAATGCCCAACATTATTAGCCATGATTAAATTTAATGTTCCATCTAGAGTGTCTAGAAATTATTCAGTGTTTTCTTAATCATTTCATAGAACTAATTATGAATATCATTCAATGATTAAAAAAATTTGCAGGGAGACTAATCAATTTTTGAATTAAATTGATTTTTTTTTATGATAATGTGACAAGATTCACCACATTATACAACAAAGACATGTACTGGATCCTAATTAGTAAAATATACATTCTAGTTAAATTAACTAATTTGTTAATGTAAGTTATTATAGGAATAACTTTTATTTAAGAATACATGTCCTGTTAATAAATAAATGAAATAAAATGAAATATTATAATAAAAATATTAAAAATTTTTATCGTTTCTGACATTTTAAATTTGAAACTTGACATTTTAGGGTAAGTGAGAGTAAATGTGTAAAAAAAATCATTGAAAACTTATTACCTCAATGCACTCTCAAAAATTTTTAGCGTGTTTCTAAAGAGTCTTTATCGGTATGGTAGTTATTTTTAATTTAATTTTGTATCATTTATTTTATAAATAATAGTAGAAAACATTGTTTAATAAAAAAAAATATTAGAAATACACCAAAAATATATGTTTACCCTTGTAAAAATGTTGAAAGTTGGAAAAATTCCCTTTCACTATTTGTTTATTTTAAAATATTGTTGTAACAGTTGAAATTGAACATTAAAACACACACACACACATTAGGTACAACGGCAAAAATAAAATATACAAATATATCAAATATTGATTTTTTAAAGATAAACATTGGTAAAATTTATCATTTTTTTCTATAATATCACCAATAGATATATTGTTTGAATAATCTAAATCAAAAGTAAATATTAAATCAAAATTTATAATAATAAACCATCGTTTACATTCATTTTTGGCTATCATTCTATTCTGGTGTAGATAACATCCCTATAAAACAAGGAAGTGTCAAAATTTCTCAAACGGATCACCTAAAATTAAAAAATTTAATTTCCAATGTTTAAATTGTTTTTATTACTCCTACTGTGATAAAAATAAATTTCTCAAAATATTAAAACAATAAAAATTGTTAAAGTTATAAACAATAATAATTAATAAATTAATAAAATAATAATTTTTGTTTTTAAATAATTTTTACTTTAGACAGTTTTTTGAATTGTTTAACTTATAAAATGTTAATAAAAAATAGTGTTCTTCGTATCATATTTAAAATTTAAAAATTGTTTCATATTTCACATACATTTCTGAGTATAAAACCGTTGAGAAAAAAAATGACACTCAATTTTGTTATAAATCTACTTTATATTTCGGGGTTTTTGGTTTTTAGAATATAATATATGATTAAATTAATTTCCTTAATTTTAAATACCCACTTGGAAAGATTCCCTGGAAAGTGCCCCCTGGAGGTTCTATTAGAATTCCGCCGGAACTTTCAACGTAATTCCGTCGGAATTCCAAAGAATTTCCGTTGGGATTCCGACGGAGTTCTAACAGAATTCCGATTAAATTTTTTCAAAATTTTTAAAGTATTAATTCCGTCGGAATCCCATTGGAAATTCTTTGGAATTCTGATAGAACCTCCAGGGGGCACTTTCCGGGGAATCTTTCCAAGTGGGTAAGTCATCCTAAATTGATATAAAAATAATCGAATTATATAATTATTATTTCCTAATTATATTTACATATACCTATACATATATATATTGTTTGTTCAAAAGGCGAAAATTATTTAACCAACTAAAACTGCCAGAGAATTTGGCAAACAAACTATTTGAAATTGTTTGATATAAACTCTCACACATGTTCGAGTGTGATTTATTTCTATCCGTCAAGAGCAGTGGCTCTTTCACTAAAAAAAAAAAGAATAATAAAAAAAGGGAACTGAATGCATTTGATAAATACTTGACTGAAATTGAAAGTATGAATGAAAGATTCATTACAGTACCTATAGAAAATTGCATTTTTAGTTACTATAGAAACTAAAAATGCAATTTTTTAAACTATAGTTTAAATTTTTTGTTTTTTTTACAAAATTACAAAAAAAATATTAACAAAATATTAAAAAATTTATGTTAAGTGCATCAATTACAGCGCATTCATAAAAAATAACTATTATTACTATTATATTTAAAATAACTGTTGCAAAAAGATTTTAAAAAATTATATTAATCTTTTTTTGATACAATTATTAATAAAGATGCACATTTAAACAATTATTTATTTAATTATTTGAGATCAAATTTTTTCCCTCGCCGTAATTGAATCATTTTTAAGATTTCCATTGGCTCCAATTACGGTGGACAAAGTAACTTCAAAATACTCGTAATTTTTTTCACCGTAATTGATACAGTAAAACTGATACAAACGCGCTGTAATAGAAAATTACAATTAGAAAATTAGAAAAAGTTTTAATTTCTCATATTTGTTTAAATACTCGATTTTTAGAAAGTTAATTTTTTTGTAATATTTAAATAACAATAAGCTTTTAGTTTAATAAGTCTTATATTGACTTTATACAATAGAAATGTCGAATTTTCTATTTCAAAGATGTTTTAAATCGAATCGCGCCGTTTTTAGTGCATTTACTCTATTTAAAACAAAAAATTATTACTTTTTTGAAAAATAAAACAATTTTTTTATTTCTCATTAAAAAATACTAATCAGAATAGAATTTCCCTTACGTATTTAATAACACGCTGTAATTATCTTCTCGTAAATTTTTTTTCTATGTTTTTTATGAAATTTATGATTTAATAAAGCTAGCTCTTGGAGCATATATGGTGTTGTGTACATTTATATACACATACAAACATATATATGTATATATATATATATATATATATATATATAAATTATACAATAAACGGGATAAGGTTTTTCAAGTTTAAAAGATAGGGGATTTATCTACCATAACTGTCCATTCAGAAAATATGAGTTTATTCAATGAAGGATTTTAGCAACGACCTTTTTATTCGTAATAGTTTACTGCATTTTAAAGTTGAATGAAAATGTTGCTTCATCTTTTGTAGTTTTTCAATATATACCTTTAAGAAAAGAATTGAATTTAAGGTTATGTGATTTTTACATGTAAATATTCTCCGCAAGTTTTTTAGTAAAATTAAATAGTTGATAGATTAAGCTAAAATTTTCTGTAGAACTCAATTAGTATAAGAAATCGATAAGATTATTAATAATGAATAAAAAAATTTATTTTTAAAAAATT